AGAGCCAGGGTCGTGCAGTTCTCAGGCTGCTATATCACGTAGAGCCAGGGTCGTGCAGTTCTCAGGCTGCTATATCACGTAGAGCCAGGGTCGTGCAGTTCTCAGGCTGCTATATCACGTAGAGCCAGGGTCGTGCAGTTCTCAGGCTGCTATATCACGTAGAGCCAGGGTCGTGCAGTTCTCAGGGTGCTATATCACGTAGAGCCAGGGTCGTGCAGTTCTCAGGGTGCTATATCACGTAGAGCCAGGGTCGTGCAGTTCTCAGGCTGCTATATCACGTAGAGCCAGGGTCGTGCAGTTCTCAGGCTGCTATATCACGTAGAGCCAGGGTCGTGCAGTTCTCAGGCTGCTATATCACGTAGAGCCAGGGTCGTGCAGTTCTCAGGCTGCTATATCACGTAGAGCCAGGGTCGTGCAGTTCTCAGGCTGCTATATCACGTAGAGCCAGGGTCGTGCAGTTCTCAGGCTGCTATATCACGTAGAGCCAGGGTCGTGCAGTTCTCAGGCTGCTATATCACGTAGAGCCAGGGTCGTGCAGTTCTCAGGGTGCTATATCACGTAGAGCCAGGGTCGTGCAGTTCTCAGGGTGCTATATCACGTAGAGCCAGGGTCGTGCAGTTCTCAGGCTGCTATATCACGTAGAGCCAGGGTCGTGCAGTTCTCAGGCTGCTATATCACGTAGAGCCAGGGTCGTGCAGTTCTCAGGCTGCTATATCACGTAGAGCCAGGGTCGTGCAGTTCTCAGGGTGCTATATCACGTAGAGCCAGGGTCGTGCAGTTCTCAGGGTGCTATATCACGTAGAGCCAGGGTCGTGCAGTTCTCAGGGTGCTATATCACGTAGAGCCAGGGTCGTGCAGTTCTCAGGGTGCTATATCACGTAGAGCCAGGGTCGTGCAGTTCTCAGGGTGCTATATCACGTAGAGCCAGGGTCGTGCAGTTCTCAGGCTGCTATATCACGTAGAGCCAGGGTCGTGCAGTTCTCAGGCTGCTATATCACGTAGAGCCAGGGTCGTGCAGTTCTCAGGGTGCTATATCACGTAGAGCCAGGGTCGTGCAGTTCTCAGGCTGCTATATCACGTAGAGCCAGGGTCGTGCAGTTCTCAGGCTGCTATATCACGTAGAGCCAGGGTCGTGCAGTTCTCAGGCTGCTATATCACGTAGAGCCAGGGTCGTGCAGTTCTCAGGGTGCTATATCACGTAGAGCCAGGGTCGTGCAGTTCTCAGGGTGCTATATCACGTAGAGCCAGGGTTGTGCAGTTCTCAGGGTGCTATATCACGTAGAGCCAGGGTCGTGCAGTTCTCAGGGTGCTATATCACGTAGAGCCAGGGTCGTGCAGTTCTCAGGGTGCTATATCACGTAGAGCCAGGGTCGTGCAGTTCTCAGGCTGCTATATCACGTAGAGCCAGGGTCGTGCAGTTCTCAGGCTGCTATATCACGTAGAGCCAGGGTCGTGCAGTTCTCAGGCTGCTATATCACGTAGAGCCAGGGTCGTGCAGTTCTCAGGGTGCTATATCACGTAGAGCCAGGGTCGTGCAGTTCTCAGGGTGCTATATCACGTAGAGCCAGGGTCGTGCAGTTCTCAGGGTGCTATATCACGTAGAGCCAGGGTCGTGCAGTTCTCAGGCTGCTATATCACGTAGAGCCAGGGTCGTGCAGTTCTCAGGCTGCTATATCACGTAGAGCCAGGGTCGTGCAGTTCTCAGGCTGCTATATCACGTAGAGCCAGGGTCGTGCAGTTCTCAGGCTGCTATATCACGTAGAGCCAGGGTCGTGCAGTTCTCAGGGTGCTATATCACGTAGAGCCAGGGTCGTGCAGTTCTCAGGGTGCTATATCACGTAGAGCCAGGGTCGTGCAGTTCTCAGGCTGCTATATCACGTAGAGCCAGGGTCGTGCAGTTCTCAGGCTGCTATATCACGTAGAGCCAGGGTCGTGCAGTTCTCAGGCTGCTATATCACGTAGAGCCAGGGTCGTGCAGTTCTCAGGCTGCTATATCACGTAGAGCCAGGGTCGTGCAGTTCTCAGGCTGCTATATCACGTAGAGCCAGGGTCGTGCAGTTCTCAGGCTGCTATATCACGTAGAGCCAGGGTCGTGCAGTTCTCAGGCTGCTATATCACGTAGAGCCAGGGTCGTGCAGTTCTCAGGCTGCTATATCACGTAGAGCCAGGGTCGTGCAGTTCTCAGGGTGCTATATCACGTAGAGCCAGGGTCGTGCAGTTCTCAGGCTGCTATATCACGTAGAGCCAGGGTCGTGCAGTTCTCAGGCTGCTATATCACGTAGAGCCAGGGTCGTGCAGTTCTCAGGCTGCTATATCACGTAGAGCCAGGGTCGTGCAGTTCTCAGGGTGCTATATCACGTAGAGCCAGGGTCGTGCAGTTCTCAGGGTGCTATATCACGTAGAGCCAGGGTCGTGCAGTTCTCAGGGTGCTATATCACGTAGAGCCAGGGTCGTGCAGTTCTCAGGGTGCTATATCACGTAGAGCCAGGGTCGTGCAGTTCTCAGGGTGCTATATCACGTAGAGCCAGGGTCGTGCAGTTCTCAGGGTGCTATATCACGTAGAGCCAGGGTCGTGCAGTTCTCAGGGTGCTATATCACGTAGAGCCAGGGTCGTGCAGTTCTCAGGGTGCTATATCACGTAGAGCCAGGGTCGTGCAGTTCTCAGGGTGCTATATCACGTAGAGCCAGGGTCGTGCAGTTCTCAGGCTGCTATATCACGTAGAGCCAGGGTCGTGCAGTTCTCAGGCTGCTATATCACGTAGAGCCAGGGTCGTGCAGTTCTCAGGCTGCTATATCACGTAGAGCCAGGGTCGTGCAGTTCTCAGGGTGCTATATCACGTAGAGCCAGGGTCGTGCAGTTCTCAGGCTGCTATATCACGTAGAGCCAGGGTCGTGCAGTTCTCAGGCTGCTATATCACGTAGAGCCAGGGTCGTGCAGTTCTCAGGCTGCTATATCACGTAGCGCCAGGGTCGTGCAGTTCTCAGGCTGCTATATCACGTAGAGCCAGGGTCGTGCAGTTCTCAGGCTGCTATATCACGTAGAGCCAGGGTCGTGCAGTTCTCAGGCTGCTATATCACGTAGAGCCAGGGTCGTGCAGTTCTCAGGCTGCTATATCACGTAGAGCCAGGGTCGTGCAGTTCTCAGGCTGCTATATCACGTAGAGCCAGGGTCGTGCAGTTCTCAGGGTGCTATATCACGTAGAGCCAGGGTCGTGCAGTTCTCAGGGTGCTATATCACGTAGAGCCAGGGTCGTGCAGTTCTCAGGCTGCTATATCACGTAGAGCCAGGGTCGTGCAGTTCTCAGGCTGCTATATCACGTAGAGCCAGGGTCGTGCAGTTCTCAGGCTGCTATATCACGTAGAGCCAGGGTCGTGCAGTTCTCAGGGTGCTATATCACGTAGAGCCAGGGTCGTGCAGTTCTCAGGGTGCTATATCACGTAGAGCCAGGGTCGTGCAGTTCTCAGGGTGCTATATCACGTAGAGCCAGGGTCGTGCAGTTCTCAGGGTGCTATATCACGTAGAGCCAGGGTCGTGCAGTTCTCAGGGTGCTATATCACGTAGAGCCAGGGTCGTGCAGTTCTCAGGGTGCTATATCACGTAGAGCCAGGGTCGTGCAGTTCTCAGGGTGCTATATCACGTAGAGCCAGGGTCGTGCAGTTCTCAGGGTGCTATATCACGTAGAGCCAGGGTCGTGCAGTTCTCAGGCTGCTATATCACGTAGAGCCAGGGTCGTGCAGTTCTCAGGGTGCTATATCACGTAGAGCCAGGGTCGTGCAGTTCTCAGGGTGCTATATCACGTAGAGCCAGGGTCGTGCAGTTCTCAGGCTGCTATATCACGTAGAGCCAGGGTCGTGCAGTTCTCAGGCTGCTATATCACGTAGAGCCAGGGTCGTGCAGTTCTCAGGCTGCTATATCACGTAGAGCCAGGGTCGTGCAGTTCTCAGGGTGCTATATCACGTAGAGCCAGGGTCGTGCAGTTCTCAGGGTGCTATATCACGTAGAGCCAGGGTCGTGCAGTTCTCAGGCTGCTATATCACGTAGAGCCAGGGTCGTGCAGTTCTCAGGCTGCTATATCACGTAGAGCCAGGGTCGTGCAGTTCTCAGGCTGCTATATCACGTAGAGCCAGGGTCGTGCAGTTCTCAGGGTGCTATATCACGTAGAGCCAGGGTCGTGCAGTTCTCAGGGTGCTATATCACGTAGAGCCAGGGTCGTGCAGTTCTCAGGGTGCTATATCACGTAGAGCCAGGGTCGTGCAGTTCTCAGGGTGCTATATCACGTAGAGCCAGGGTCGTGCAGTTCTCAGGGTGCTATATCACGTAGAGCCAGGGTCGTGCAGTTCTCAGGGTGCTATATCACGTAGAGCCAGGGTCGTGCAGTTCTCAGGGTGCTATATCACGTAGAGCCAGGGTCGTGCAGTTCTCAGGCTGCTATATCACGTAGAGCCAGGGTCGTGCAGTTCTCAGGGTGCTATATCACGTAGAGCCAGGGTTGTGCAGTTCTCAGGCTGCTATATCACGTAGAGCCAGGGTCGTGCAGTTCTCAGGGTGCTATATCACGTAGAGCCAGGGTCGTGCAGTTCTCAGGGTGCTATATCACGTAGAGCCAGGGTCGTGCAGTTCTCAGGGTGCTATATCACGTAGAGCCAGGGTCGTGCAGTTCTCAGGGTGCTATATCACGTAGAGCCAGGGTCGTGCAGTTCTCAGGGTGCTATATCACGTAGAGCCAGGGTCATGCAGTTCTCAGGGTGCTATATCACGTAGAGCCAGGGTCGTGCAGTTCTCAGGGTGCTATATCACGTAGAGCCAGGGTCGTGCAGTTCTCAGGGTGCTATATCACGTAGAGCCAGGGTCGTGCAGTTCTCAGGCTGCTATATCACGTAGAGCCAGGGTCGTGCAGTTCTCAGGGTGCTATATCACGAGGACGGATTCAGTGCATCAGTAGAACATACAGCACGTACAGGATTCCTTTCACTCCCCCCGCCTCTCTCTCTCTCTCTCTCTCTCACCCTACGTGGATATCAGGAGAACATGACTTACTGACAAAGAAGTGGACAAAGTCGCGCTCCAGCTTGTAGAATCCCGTCTGCAAGAGGACGGACAGGGCTCGGAGAAGACTGGACCTAACGAGCACGGGACAGAAACAGAAGAAAGTGAAAGAGGACGAGATATTTAAAAAGGCGACGTGGAGACAATAATCTCAGTAATGCAATGAATAAAACCATATGCGCACTCACATCACAACCATAGCAACGAATTAAGTGTTTCTGGATTATTAAGGACGAGATATAGTCAATTTTTAAAGCGGCCCTTGACATCAGCGCTGCTGTTGTTCTTAGTTTTACTTTAAAAACTCAATACAGAGACCATAGTAAGCACACCAACTAGAATAAGAGCAAGCGTTGAGAAACTCGAGATTGTTCACAACGTTACGCCATTTTCAGCGGCACATAGTATTGCTCCGGACGTCAGATAACGAGAGTGAGAGAGTGAGAGACAACAGGTGTTTGTGTTTGTGTGTGTGTGAGAGAGAGAGAGAGAGAGAGCTAGAGGCAGTTCGCGACTCACCCCGTTGCACTGAGCACGTTGGCAGACACCTGCGTGAGCTGGTCCTGCGTAGTACACTGCAGACACTGACGCACCAGATCAGCCAGGGCGGTGATGTTCTCCCGGTACACCTGTAACACAATCACACAACGACATCATACGACGTCATCCCATCGCATCATATTATCGGGCTACAATCCCGTTTGACTTTGCGAAGTAAAATAAAGACTACTTGTACATACATACATACACAACAGCTAGAGAGTTGGGCATGGCATTCCGGCGGACTTTCAAACCGGGTTTTGATTTTGAATGTACACGTTCCAACACTGAAGGATGGGGATGCACTTTATACAAAACTGGTATCTGAAACCGCCAGCAATTGTGGCTTATCAGCTTGGCTTCACCTCGGTTTTCAGAAAGAATGGGTAACAAGGAAGCAAGCTATAGCATGTGATGGCAGACCTGACTTAAAGCAGGCGGATGAATCTGCTATACTTTCTGTAGAACGCCTTGTACGCTGTTGGCTAGGACGTTCTATTGTACCAATGCAAGTCTTTGAGGCTGGTGCTGAAAACTGACTACGAGCAAAAAACAATCATAATGTGCGCGAGCGCACGCACGCACGCATGTACGCACACACACGCACGAGTGCTAGGGTTGGGCAGGGACTGGGCAACATACCATTGGCTGGATCTCCTGCTTGAACAGACAGCGTGACACTTGCAGCAGACAGCGAGACACATCCTTGATGCTGACAGCATCTGTGTGTGCAGAACATAGGACCAGACCAGCACATAAAGAATTCCTAAAACCATCCAAACTGAAATCAGAACTCGAGAAAGTAGACAATAAACAGGAGCTGGTGGGTAACTCAATCTCGAAGAAGCAGAGAACCTTTGCCACAAGCTCACACATTTCAGTATCCTAAGCACTCCTTAGCCTGCTGTGATATGCCCAGTACAAAGTACATGTAACAAAATGCTGGGTTGTTGTTTAGCCGTTGCACGCCGAGACGGTGACAAAGAATTTTGGGCATATCTCCCACAACCACTGACCTTTGGCGAGCAGCCAGAACAGCTGTGTGAAGTCCAGATCCTGTCTCAGCGGTAGCATGTGACTGCTGATTGCGTCCAGGTCCGCTTGCCGGCCTTCGTCCGGACGCCATTGCTGCAGGCACAGTGTGCGGTAGGAGATAGAGAAACGACACAGGCATGGCTGAGAAGAAGTAGACATGTGGCACGAGAGTTCCAGAGTAAGTAGTAGTAATCTGCACCAGGCTATACAAGCGTACGCAGCATTCTAGTTTATCCATACACCGTAACAGGTTTAACAACTACACCGTAACAGGTTTAACAACTACACCGTAACAGGTTTAACAACTACACCGTAACAGGTTTAACAACTACACCGTAACAGGTTTAACAACTACACCGTAACAGGTTTAACAACTACACCGTAACAGGTTTAACAACTACACCGGATGCCTTGATACTTGCGGATGGTGACATTACTACAATGAAGGGCCAGCCTGACTGACACAAATGCTTTGCCACATAGCACACCATGCACACACACATTGCGGAAACTCACCATCAGGTCCTCGGCTGTGCAGGTTTGCACCTCTGAGAGAGGGCAGAGACAAGAAGCAATACAATCATGTACATGCACATGTACCTCAACTCTTCTCACAATGTAAACAATCTCTCTCCCTTATATTTAGTTCAAACAGGCATTGAGTTGGTGGACAAGCCGTTGATTATTCACTCTCATTGTAATATCAAAAAGTATTCTTTCTAGACCAAAGAGTGGTATATTTGATAACATTTAATAACGATAGAAATTTTTACGATACTTCTCCAGACGTTTCGTTGTTCTGAACAACATCGTCAGTGGATAAAGAATACAAAGAATGCTAAGAATGCAGCATTCTTTATCCACTGACGATGTTGTTCAGAACAACGAAACGTCTGGAGAAGTATCGTAAAAATTTCTATCGTTATTAACCCTTTATTGGCCGATTAAAATATAAACAAGCCCATACAATCGCCAAACCTGTAGCTAAATTGGACGTAACTTTAGTTTGCACTGGACAAATTCCACGATCTTGGGCATCCTGGAAAGGCCTTGATGAGAGGAGCGCAATGAGCCTACACTCGACTCCACGGGATGCACTGGCCCAGCGCTGCAAGCCAGGGAAAGCCCACCAGCGCTGGGCTCACGCTCGAGATCTATCTCTATCCACCATTTCACTCCTGTTGCTCGTATCAAACTGAAACATTTCGTAGAGACTCCCGGGAACCTGCTTTTGAAGTTGAATCGGCGTAGCCTTGTCAACAGGTGACGTAAACAGGGAAAATCCCGGCCGTTGACCCACGCATCGCACTCTGAGCACAAATTTCCCGGGACCAATATTACGAGTGCTATAACTCAAGAACCGCTCTTTGTATCGCTTTGAAAATTGTTCGAGGCGACAGCTGAGAGTTTTCTCTTCGACCTACATATTTCGATCTCTCCGAAAGACCGAGATTTGACCAAATTACGATAATTTCAAAATGCCTACCCCATCGAACATCCGTGTTCGATCAATGTATGGGCCAGCCAATAAAGGGATAAATGTTATCAAATATACCACTCTTTGGTCTAGAAAGAATACTTTTTGACAAACAGGCATTTTAGATGAATGTTTCAGGGCCGCTAACTGCCAAAATTGGTCACATGGGTCTCCCCGGGAGAGGAGAAAGAGGCTCAAAAGGAATCTTGGAAAGATGACTCAATTGACTCACACACACACACAAACACACACACACACACGCACCCATAGACACATGCACAGACTTACTTTGCAGAAACCCTGCCGTGCGGTCCACGGCTGTCTCAGCGGCCGAGTCACCTTGCCGCCACTCGACCCTGGCAGAGCTGTCCTCCAAGCCAAACAACTGCACCCATGCCTGCGAAGGACACACACGCACAGATAGAAAGGCGAGTGCGTTACTAGAGACAGTATCTAGTGGCTTCACATCTTGGCCATGCGATTAGATTTGCGCAGAAAGTGTACATGGCATGCGGACAGAGGAACCAACATGGCTGACATCATGTGACCTCCTGATGCAGGGATCGACTGGAGTTGGCACAACTATGCACGACCCGTACGGCCACGGCACGTTGCAAAGGCACGACAGCACCATACATACTGCAGGGTGGGGGATGCCATGGCCATAATATTGTAGTAATTAGAAGGGAGTCCATTCAAAATAGCACGTCCATTCATGTATTTCAAGTACTCTAATTTCAGAAATTTTAGGTGCTCAATATTTTCGGTATGAGGGCAAAAGGCCAGGTTAGGTGAACAGAAAATTTAGGTACAGAGAAGCAGTTCCCTATTGGATTATGTGTGTTAGTGTTTGTTCGGTGTATTGAAATTTTAGGTATGAAACAGACGCACCGAAAGTACCGAAAACTAAAGTAGACCGAATATTTGTGAAATTACAGTATATGAACATGTATACTCTTCGAATTTACTCAATCTCAATTAGCTGTTTCGACCTTGTTAGGCTCACTCATCGGAGCTCAAGAGTAACTGACACGGACGCTCTACGGAAGGGCATCTAAACACTTCCTGTGTGCAGCAGCTCACACTGCACACAGGTAGCGGAAAAACATTCAAAAAGACCAACACTGCATGCATGGCTGCTACCCGCACCAACCTCAAGCTGATTGAGCTCTCGCAGAAGGCGGGCGGCTGGTGATCTCAAATCCTTGCTCACGGCACGGACGAGCTGCAGCGGTACACACAGCGCACACACAGTCACAGGAGGCAAGGAAAGAAAACTCTATAAAATTGGTTACGGTACCATTCGGCTATTCAATAATGCAACAAACTATCCTCCTCTACCGGTTCATGCGCTCTCCGCCGACACGTTACTACCCTTGGTAGCCATTACACACACCGAAAATTCCAAACAAAGAAGGGGTTACGGGTAGAAAAGAAAAACAAGCAATAATGCAAACACGAGACCAATGGAAAATCGTCACGCTTCAAACCGGGTGTGCCGGCTCAAGTCTTTGCTCTTACCACACAACATGACGCTGCCGATGTTGGATAGCACAGGACGGTGGATGAGCGTTCCCAGCTGTAGCGTACCACAAGCAGACTGCCGCCGAGATCCGCCTCGTCCAGCATCGATGTGTCCATGGACATCTAAACAGTGGGCACGTGGACACACGGGTAGGAAATTGGACAGTTACATAGGGCAGTGCAATGCAATGCACTTCACAGTTCACACACACGCACACACACACACAAACCAATGAGCATTGATTCTGGGGAAAAGGCAAGAAGCCTATGCCATGCATAGAACCACACAATTATACCACACACATATCTCTCTTATACGAGCGGTGCGGGATCGGGCGCTGCCCATAACTTGCAATGCACTTCACAGTTCACAGTTCACACACACAAACCAATGAGCATTGATTCCGGGAAAAAGCCAAGAGGCCTATGCAATGCATAGAACCACACCATCATACCACACACATATCTCTCTTACACGAGCGGTGCGGGACCGGGCGCTTCCCATGACTTGGAAATGACCGTAACTTTATTTTTCATTGCTATCAGGTTCGGCCTCATTTTCTCTGTGCTGCGCTGATGAGTCCACCAAGGACGAAACAGTTCTGTCCGAAGAGATTGAATAACTCTGAATCACATACGTTTCAATGGGGAAGGGCAAGGGATGCGGGATGTGACGTCACTATTTCCAGAAAAAGGGCAAAAAATTCATGGTTCGCATCAGACTCGGCTAGAGGCCAAGTTTTCCGCATCCGTAGGAACGCCACCACCCTTCAAAGAAAAAGGGTAAGGAGTAGTAATATTTCCACTAGAACTAACGCACCGGGTGCCGGGTACTAGTAGACAGAGGTGCTCGTAACTTCTTGGAGGTCCGGGTAAGAGAGATATGAGTGTATTGACTAGCTAGCACTGTCAGTAATCAGCAGACTATACCTCCGATGTGGAGTTAGATAGACTGCCGATGATCTCGTACTCGGCTGTGAACAGGCCACATCGCTCCTGATGAGACGGCAACAAACCAAACAGACATACACTCAAATAGATAACAGCACAATACAATTGGACCGCTGGTAAATCACCATCAGCTATGCAGCATAGTGCAACAATCACGGCTCGCGTAGAGACTCGATTAGACCGAGTTTTCTGCATCCTTAGGAACGCCACAACTCCCAAGGATCAAGGTGCAGATGCAGCTCCTAAAGCGGTGGGAGACGAGTAGATCTGACCCAGCACCAAAGTGGCCAAAGACCGAAAATCCCATCCGCTGCATCCATGACTGCATAGTGCAAGATTGCCATGCACAGTGACTGGTAAGGGGAACACAGGTGTCCCTGATTTCCCTCAGCACTGCAATCCCCACCACTGCACTACTGTACCTACCACTGCACTACTGTACCTGCATATCAAGGCCACCATCAACGTCCAGCGGGACACAACCGTGCGAAAGCAACTTGTGCAACGAAGGCAAAGCGTAGAACGACGTCGGACTGTCGAGCAACGATGACGGGCGCAGAATTGTGCCTATAGGCAATAGAGAGAACATACAGGACACACACTCAGACATGCCCATCGCGGAAGCGAAGCAGATAGCAAACAGCTATGTTAGACTATGAAATTGTGCTGGGATTACACTATTCAACAACGTTGCTTGCAAGGCTGATGAATTGACCGCCATAAATTTCAGTCTGGTCTACACCACACAGCTGATTGAAGTGGCATTTTCTGGCCAGTGAAAAATGAAAAATAGAATACACACGCACACACACACACACACACACACGCGCGTGCGCACACACACACACGCGCGCAAGCACGCACACAATCAACTCGTGTCAGACTAGATGAATCAATTCCTGGTTTTAAGTTCACAAACACCGGTGGCAGTGGAGAAGTTGCGTTTATGATACATGCGTCAATAGCAACCTGTTTGAAAAGTTCTTCTCCTGTGCAAGCTCACCTACCGAGAAAGCGACAAGACAGTAGCTGGGGCACGACAGATGGAGGTGGCGAGGAGTCACTTTGCTCTGTATCGCCAGCCTTCAGCTTACACTGGCCTGCAACAACAACATCAACAACATCAAAGTCAACGACGGCAGCAGCAACAGAATTGACGAGATGCACCCCAAGAGTCCACACTAAACGGAACGTACAGTGGAACCTTACAACCCCCCCCCCCCCCCCCCCTCCGGAACATGCATATACCTGTCCTGTATTGGAAACAGTCCTGATCGTATAGTGCATGGTGTCATCAACTAGGCCGCACACACAACTACAGTCCTGCTCAATGAAATCCAGCCGCGGCACTCAAGTCTGCGCCTTGCACCATTTCGCAGCCCAGTGTTCGCAAGTCTAGGGCTGCGCAACGCCCGGCGAGTAGTGAGTACTTGAGTGACGCTGTGACTGGATTTCATTGAGCAGTGCTGTACATTGCATGCGGCCAACCCCACGTCCCGTGTGCATGGACAGAACTGGTCACATCGTGAAGTGTGACACAACTCTGAAAAGGAGTTCATGCCACGACAGCAACGCATCTGGAGTTGCACAGTCTCGTCTAGGGAGTTACACAGAATAACCTCGGCAGCAGGGCAAAGTACTCGTGGAAGTTTTTGCCCTCTTGGCAGACACGTGAGAAATTGAAGAGAAAGCAACCAGAGCCCGTGCCTAGCACTGCGGGGCACCGCTACCATTCAAACACGCCTGCACTTACCAGCTAGCCACAGAAGCTGTGTGGGCTTGGATGGGCTACACAACACCCACAGCGGCGGGAGAGCTTCATTGCCAGGCCGCAGAGTGCTGGAATATTCTGACATCAAATACCTGAGCATACGAACACGGCCAAGATGCTGGTCAGAAATATCTTAGAGATGCTGGGCAAACGAAAAAAAGTTCAAAAAAACCAGTTCAAAGAAGAGATAGCGATTGGAGTGCCGGTATTCAAACGGGGTTTCCATTCACGACACGCATAACGCCAGTGCCAAAATAAAACACCAGTTCAACATGCAAAGTTGACACTGCCGCTTGTGTCGCACATGCTGCACAAACCATCTGTACCCTACCGTGCGTCGTCAGCTGTCAACGGTGACAGTGCCGCACTGCTCAATGGCGTTGATACATGCACACGCTGATCTGACTGCTTCGCAGCATGCTGGAAAACGACAGTGGATGCGAGAGACAAACAGAAAGATGTAAAGGGTTGCCCCGGGTACAAGTCGCACATTACATTATTTCATAAAGAGGAAAAAGTAGAGTTTCTTGGTGACCAGATACCTGGCTTCGTCATCACCAGAAAGAGGATCAACAGAAATCAGGTAAACGGTTCATCCTAGCTGACAACCACTTACCCACAGCTCTGGCATACACTGCAACCGATCGCCGTCCTTTGCAGCAGCAGCAGCACTACCACCACCACCACACTGGACAATGGTCACAGGAGATTGCAAGCCAGCAACTTGATGACGCTCCGGCCTGTCCGTGTCCTCGCCGTCCTGATCAAACAACAGCAGAAGCAGACGCAGGCATACAAGTATGTACAGCGTGAGCAAAACTTACAGCCTACACCACCAGTCATCACATCAATTTCATAAACTGGAGCCACAGCAGCCGGTTCAACTAAGGATAATTTCCCCAAGAGCAGTGAAAACAGTCGACACAGTTGAACCTCTCTTATCCGAGCGCATCCGGGCCGATTCCCCGAAGCTGGGTGCCCGCATATCGTACGCAAATTAAAAAAACACGACCCTCGTGGTACTTCTTCTTTCTTTTCAGTTGGGCTCGCTAAATCAAGATGCAGGGCGGCCGGGAGCAATTTTTAATTGGTCCGGTCATACCGTGGTCTTTCTTGAATTCATTATTCCGAGGCACATTCAACAGTAGCTGAGGAATATGAGCTTCCATGAGGTGAATAAATCTGCTAACCTCCACAAAAGGGAAGATATCATATACAATGCACCACAAAACACACACACACACACATACGCACACGTACACACGCACACTCACACATACCGTTGGCACGTAGGAAGAGGCCAGTACGTAGCCACGAGTTGTAGGCGCAGCAATAGCCGACAACGGAGGGGCCACGTTCGGTGGAACAAACTGTAAGAGAAATTCCTCCTGAATGAGAAAAGGGGCACAAAAGACAAGAAACCTTGAATAGAAGGCAGAGATCACGACTGCCATCATCTTTGTAAAAACAAAACAAGGAAAACAACCACCACCACCACCATCACCACCACCACCACCACCACCACAACAACAACAACAACAACAACAACAACAATAACAACAACAACAACCGGACCGGTATCGTGCGCACATGTGTGAAATCAACTCATTAAAAATAGCTCTTTGTGCAAATTTTAATCAAGCACGCCATACCTGGTAGGTGCAGTGTTTGGTGATGGTACATGATGACCTGAAAGAGAAACGCCAAACAAAGTAAAATAAAGTCCACCGTAAGCCTCAATGTAGCACACACATACACAATACTAAGGGGCCATGCGGCATTCTCGATAATTTTCATGGAATGAAACAGTTTAGCTACAATCCCCCTCCCTCAGACATGCTCGCCGGGAAGAGGAGAAGTCTGAGGAACCGCCGAAAAAGAAATCGTAAAAACTCCCTTACGCCTAAGGACACCTCAACTAAGCCGAGTGCTGAAGCGCCGGCGGTCGTCCCCACCACACTGGACAAATAATCACTGGGCCAAACCGGTTTACGCTCTGAAGGCGGTTATGGTGAGGAGTGGAGGCTGGTACCAAAACCGCAGGGTAGTCTCATATCTTGAGATTTTTCTTTGGTCGAGAACCTGGCGTCCTGTATAAGCCTACGACACGTAGCACGAGGCAACTGGGCATATATCCAGAACCAACGAGTAGTGTTACTCACAAGAGGGCACGCTGGTCCGGGATATAAACATTCGGCAGTTGAAACTGACATACAGGGGTAGGATCCTAGAGTGACGCTTGTTCAGCGGCATGAACGGTTATAGGCGTAAAACACATTTTACACGGTGTCATCACCGGTAGTATACCAGGAGCTGCAGTATGAACCTCATGGTCATGCAGTTACAGGAGTAAAGTGGTCGCTTGCAACACTTTCTCTCTCGCAGACACAGAGTGTGCAGTATGCTGTCTCTTAGTAATTACAGGGCTATAAGTATATCATATTACCTGAAGCCGAAGTGAATATGGGCGAATACTCACTAGTATACAAACCGAGGCGAAGCTGAGGTTTGTATAACTAGTGAATATTCGCCCATATTCACGAGGCTGAAGGTAATATTAGACTTATACCTCTCCATATTCACCCTATCGTCCCTAAAGCCCAACAAACGAGTCACGTTGGTCATACATGTACGTGTACGCAGAGTCGTTGTTGCTTCAGTATCGTAAACCGACTGGCGTGTTCTTGCCTGAATCGGAGAGCGGCGTGTTCAGAATCTTGTTCAATCGATCGTGTACATGTACTGGTGCATGTGGCATGGGAGGTGATGACCTTGGAGAACATGCTCGCGCCAATCACCATGGAGAACACACTCGTGCTTGAAGGGAGCCAATCATCGTCCGTTTCGATGCGAAGATTTGACCAATCCGCGATCATCGCGCCAATTCGGGAGTCGGTTTATAAACAGCGAGCCAAGCGATTCTACCCTCACTTCTTTTCTTTTCAAGCAGCGCTTCGGAGCTGTTGTGTGCCCTAGGAAAATTCTGCGCTAACATCCGTGAACAGGGCTGTTCTGAGTACAAACGAAATTCCTGGCTTGCAGCTTGATCCGCAAATATCGGGCCATTGACATGTTGAGCGTCCAAAACCTTGTTTGCTCGCTGGAACGCTCCGTCTGTGAAGATGCTCACTGTTGGTTGATGACTTGTCAGGGTGACCTGGTCACATGCGGATCCAGCGGCAATGGCAAGCAAGGAATTACGTTTGTACTCAGAAAAGTCTTGTTTACGGAAGAAATTTTCTAGGGCACTCGACAGCTCCGGTGCGCTGACTGAAGAGGAATCAAGCGCAGCACCGAGTACTGCTCTCTTTACAGTAAGTGTCGAAAAGTGGTGAATATAAGCGGTGAATATTCAGCAATATTCACCACTTATGTAGATGGCCAATTGTATGTGGGTGAATATGGAATGAGTATACAGTCGTCCCTCTCTAATCCAGCACCCTCGATAAACCAGCACGATTTTCAGTAGCCAAAATGTCCTCTTCATGCACATTGCAGCAGTCAGTCAGATTTGTTAATCCAGCACCCTCCCTAATGCAGCAGATTTCCCTTGTCACAAATGGTGCCGGATTATAGAGGGACCACTGTAATACAGTATATTCATGAGAGGATACACGGGCTGCCGGGAACGCCAGCATGCAATATGTGTGAGAAATGTGGAACACAGTACCGAACTAGGACAATGTGTCAGGAGGTACGGAAGGGACCAGGTCACAAGTCTCTAGAGATAGGCGCAGGGTTCACTCAGCGGAAATGCCGAGTGTCCCAGATATCCAAAGCTGGAAGGAATTGAAATAATCAGTGTTCCTGGTATGGACCCGGGTTAAGACATCAGTGGCTGGGACCTCACGATGAATACTCGGAACTGGGAAACACAGGACTAAGGAACGTGTCAGGAGGTACGGAAGGGACCGCATGGCAGCCTTAGACTTAAGTTAGAGTCAGGTCACTCTGGTCGGGCCTGGGAGGCGTCGTGTACGAGTGTACCAGACTAGGAGAGAAAACACTCTGGTCGAGGCTGGGAGGCGTCTTGTACGGGTGTCTAAACACGTTGGAGAGAGGCCACTCCGGCCGTGCCTGGGAGGCGTTGTGTACGAGTGCAAGGCCGTCACAGCCGGGGCGGGGCGGCCGGGGCCGCCCCACTTTTTCGGCCGTTTTTTTTTATTTTTTTAGCACATTACAACAAAGCACAATGATCACATGCAGCTTAGCGCAAACGTGACAAATCCTTGTCCCCGATCTTGGTTTGTTGCAGAAAAAAGGCTTTCATTGCAGTTACACTGAAATAGCACCAAATGCCTGGAAATGCTTGCAATTGGCTTCAATTCTTGAATTTTTTCCCGGGGGCGGGTAAAGTTTGTCCCCGATCGTAGCGTCTTCTTCGTTTGTTGCAGAATCAAAAAGACTTTCATTGTAGTTACCGTACACTGAAATGGCACCAAATACCCGGAAATGCTTGCAATTGGCTTCAATTTTTTCCCGGGGGACGACCCAGACCCCCCTTCCATGGCCACCCCACCTCCAAAGTCGGTGCGACGGGCCTGGAGTGTACTAGACATCCAAGGAGGGAGGGAATTGCACGGGTTCAGGCGCGCCATGGTGCGTTTGAAAACGAATCGACGTAACTTGTTCTGAATGCCAATGACGTGACGGTACTTGTCTTTCACCATACAACTCTATCAGCATCTTGAACCATGCTTACCAAACTCGGGTAACTAACTACATGTACGTCTCGAGCAATAGCAACTTGGGGCACATCACACTACGTTCACAGGATGCGAAAGGTTGTTTCCTCCTTGTTTGTTATGTACAGCAGCCCCTTCAGAAGCCACATGTTGGTGAGAGACATTGGGAAGCACATTATATAATTGTATTGTACATGTTTGTACTCACGTGTCTATGTCAGCGGCCAAGCATCGCATGCTGTCTATCAACGATGGCTGCGATTGACACCTCAGCGACGACATACTTGGAAGGTCGATTTGAAAACGAGAAACCCGGAGATACTAGCTTCGCTGGCATCAACACAACCCAGATTGCTTGCAAAAGCCAAAACAACTGACTATTGAACTGTAACTAATTACTTGACTTGACCAGTTCAAGAGCCCAGTGCCAGCATGATAGAGATCCAGCTACAGCTGCAGCGTGTAACAAACAGGGTATTTTACGACTCCTGTTGAGTGTATTGTTGTGTGTTGACAAGTCGAAATGTCGCGCTTTTTTTACAATCATTCTTTTCTAATAATTTTCGATCGTGCAAAATCATGCAAAATAGCCGTCGCCTTGGAAATGTGATGACGCTTACGCAACGCTGGTACGCCGTGTTAAAAAAAAGTGACTTGTGTGTATTTTCGTTTATTTTAGTACGGTAATTGTTTTGAAAACTTGTCTTCCTTTCAGATCTGCGATCTGACCGACTTGAGAATCCAAGGATTGAGTTCGTCGTGTTTACTACTTGTGTGTGTGTAAGTTGTAGTGACAAGCCATGGCAAGTCCAGCTGGAAGAGGTGGTAAAGGCCGAGGAAGAGGTGTCGTTCAGCTTCGTCAGCCCAATGATGCTCCTTGTGAAGGTGAATTGAGAAAACCGAGCAGAGATCGACCTCCAGAAGAGAAGCCTTTGCCACCCAGCTTGAAAAGTCTAGTGCAGTCCGCCGTTGGAGAGGTTCTTCTGAATGAGAAGAAGGCTGAACAGGTAGCATCAAAGTTTAATGAGACCGTCACTAGTATGGAGGATGTGCAGCATTTGGCTGACCGGATTCTTGAGCTGTGCGACTCCGAGAGAGCACGAGCTCTCGCCATACTCTGTTCTGGATTTGCGCAGAACTGGCAAAGCCAAGCGCTAGTAGCAGCTAATCCCAAAATGGCGCAATTCAGAAGCCAGCTCCTGAAAGCATTCGGAATCCGGTACGAGCAGAGAACACAAATGAAATCAGAGTCTCTGGCGGGGTTTCTGGGCTTTATCTCTTTCCTCGGGTATCTGTACTGCAAGCTTCGCATCAGTGATGCACCTCCGAGCTTTCTTGCTGAACCCGTGGCTCAGTGCCTCCGGGAATCTCTGTCGACGAAAACTGAAGTGGAGTGTTTCCTAGAGCTCATCGAGGAGGTTGGCCCAATCATGTCTAAGCATTCAAAGTCCGTGATGGATAAATTGTGCTCGTTTTGCCGCGAGCAACTACTTCGGGATCCTTGTCCGCCGTTCAAGCGGTTTGCTCTGCTTTTAGTTATTGAACAGCATGCATCTCAATGGAAAATGGATGACGAGGTCAGGAGCCAGCTGGATTCATTGATGAGTTCTGTATTCGCATGACAGGATCTAGGAGCAGACAAGTAGCTGCTAGACAGCGATAGAACAAGAGAGCAGGAGGAGTGAGAGAGTGTGTGTGTGTGTGTGTGTGTGTGTGTGTGTGTGTGTGTGTTTGTACGTGTGTGCGCGTGCATTAGGTTCTTTTGGACTAATCACCTTCATAGTATCCACTGCTGTGCAGTTGGCTCTTGTATTCATGTTCGCTGAGCTAAAAGTATCAAGCTTGATCCGCTGCTTGAAGCTAAGCTACACAGGTTTCTAATTTCTTGGTGATGACTCCTCGTCCACAACTGCTGGTTGGATGGTTTTCTGCATTTGTTTTGGCTTTTCATGGCTTGCTAATCTGTAGTAATTTCAATTTTACATACCCGCTTGACTTATCTTTTTTTTCATGGACACAAACGCTGAAAAAGATTGAAACTGTCCTAGTATTTAGTACATGCTTACATGGTCGTTGACCGTGTCACCCACTGCTTGTCTTGATTATAAAAGGTGGAAAATGCTCACGAATTCCCCTTACCACTTCGGTGATACCGTGATTTGGCTCTTGGCTACGGTACAACGGGGTGTCCCATGATGTGTGATGATCAGTATAAAATATATACTTCGCCACGTGAGAGAAGTGTAACATCGACTCAGCATCGTGAAGTTGTACAACCCCCTGACGTTGCGTAGATGCAGAGTTGCAAGCAGGCACGCTCTAATAATTATGGGTTTGACTCCGACAATGAGAAAGTTAATGACGTTCTGTGTTCGAGCAAGAGTATTAGTGACAACTGCTGTCCACTCTGGAATTCCCTACCATGCATACATGTACACTGTTCGATCATTTCACGGATTTCTTTGTCAGAATTCGCGGAATCCCATTCCCAGGCGAAGGCGGAATGTCTAATTCCCAGGGCAAAATTTACTCAATTGCTGTACGCTTTCTTGACCCCATGCTTGTCTGCGGTGTGTATACTACAGCATGATTTGCACCAGGGTGTTATAATTATACACATGCAACTCCCTGATCTTCACAAAGAGTTGCAAACAGTTTCTCTGTGCTGGATACCACTACAAGTCTATGTCCAGGGAGTCGTCAAATGCGTTATTTGCAGACTCCCCGACTACCGGTATGTCTATGGTGGCTCAGCCATATACATATACATGTAGATTTCTAAATGAAAAAATATGAATAGCCCGTAGGCTAAAGGCTGATTCGCAATACTTTTTGCAACGCGACACGCGATTTGTGACAAGAAAGTGCCTGTCACGAGCTGTCGCATACAGTCGTAAGGTACTCTTATAGGCGATTCAGACTACGGCCAAATGTGACCACGTTTTTACGACTCAGATAGATTTGATCAGGGATTGTGCACAAAATTTTGAAACACGACTGCATCACCACGCAGACGTGATTTTAGCCGTAGTCTGAATCGCCTATTACCTGTCGCAGAAGTTTAAGAAAGTTCAACTTCCGTGACATGCGGACCGCGGCGTACATAAATGGAGCACAGTTTCTACCCTGGGTGCACGGCTGCACGTGCATAGTACTACAAGTGCATAGGGATTCCACAAGCACCAGTGGTCACTGTGTGCTGCTTTGCATATTGTTTCACCGACTATTAGTTATAGGTTCTGCTATACGTGAAACGTAGAGATGAAGTGTCCGGCCGCGCCGGGTAAAGCTGTGTTCACAACTGGCGTATGTACGCGTGAAACCACGCGTTTGTGCGTCTTTTTGCTGGCTTTTGGGGCGTCATGCGTATGGAAGCGTGCCGAATTGGAAATCCTAACCGGTTGTATTTTACAGAGCGTACCGGCATGCGTGCCAGTCACTTTGACTGGCGGGGTCAAAACATTACCGTAAAAGTCCGTGAATAAGCACATACTTAAAGGGAAACTGAACGCCAAAAATAAGTATGGCTTATCCGAAGGAGAATTGGGCACTGATTCCGATGAGCTATGTCTCGAGCCGATCAGAGAAGAGGAACTGTGTCAAATTTCATAAATAACACCTCCCATATTTGGAAATTGGCCTTGATGACGTGCGTACTGCTTAGCTGTCACCATGCTGTGCATGTTCAGCAGTGTAATTGAATGGAAGAAAACAATTACTTTGGTGTTTTGCAGCTCTGTTTCGTTCCCTGACGGTAACCAAATCTAGATGTAGGAATCTGTTGAGCAGGAGAGTGACACATGTCTTCCCGAAGGCTGTCCAGGCTGCAGTGGTGATGAAGAAGACACGATCATCACCCCGAGATCGATCGTAGCGAATTGGAAAACTCATGGTGAATTTGCTTCCACTCCAAGGCAATGTCGAGGTATGAAGGGTGCTTGTACTGCCTTCCAAAGTGAAGAGGAGATGAACATGGCTTTGCATAGCTGTTGTTCTATGCCAACTTACCTACTCTTGCTGGTACCGTAGTGCTATATTGCAAATTTCGTGGACGAACAACTCTAGTCACTAGTGGCTAGTGAGCAACACTAACAGGTGAGATTTTTCAATTCGACAAAAATTGTTTTTGTTTGAGAACTGACAGTGGCAGTCATTAGACTCAGTAGGTGTCTCTCTGCTGCTTCCTTCCCTTCATCGGTAGGGTTGTGCTTGAAGTAAAAATATATAGAAAATGTGGAACAAAAATCTGATCATGTAATTCGAATTTGAACTTCAAAGTATGTGTACATCAAATCACAAAAATGACTGTCAAGGTGGTGCTGTGCATTGAAAAAGACTGGGAGCTGGCAGCAATGGAAAGGGTAGAAACGAAACCAGTAATGCAGAGTATTCATAAGGTAGAGGGAGATGAAAACGGGAGAGGAGTAGTGAGCACTTCAGTTTGAAGTAGTGTCAATAGACAGCATCGTGTTGCATACGTTGTGAATATTGTGTGAATCTAATAATTGTCACGAAATTGATATCCAAAATTATTGTCCCCTGAGTAGTATTATGGTGTTCTCCTGCGTTTACATGCAGAGCCTTGACGTTGCTGGACGAGCGACAATATAAATTACATAAACATGTAGCTCGTGATGTGGGATGACTGCCGTATCGCATTGCCAACGCAAACCCATCCTGTGTCAGTGCAGCCATCCAGCAACTTGAACTCCCCGGACCAGATGCCGCTGCAGCTGAACACCATGCCGATGGAAAGCCTGGAGTTGATAGCGAAGCATTCTGGTCTGCACAGTACAAGGCAAAGAACAATTATGCATTATAATGCATTGTAATCCTTCCCACACTTCTTTGTAAAAACAAACAAACAGTGCCATTATCACAACACTTGATCCAGCATCTTGATGGAGGTATTTTCCATTGTGCTGGCTCAGCATCTGCACCAGGAAGACTATGTACACTTACACGTATCTTGTGTGTGTGTGTTGGTGCGTGTGTGTTTGTGTATCTGTATGTGCACACGTGTGTGTGTGGGGGGGGGGGGGGCACGCACATGTGTATGGGTAGGAGTGTGTGTGTGGGGGGGGGGGGGGGTACACGCACATGTGTATGGATGTGCGCGCTGCATGCGTGTGTCTGTGGGATGGGGTAAGGGTGCACCCACATGTGTACATGTGTGTGCGCAATACAGCATGTGTGTATGTGGTCGTTGAACACAGGGTGTACTCCTGATTACATAAACTTCGTGATCATTATGATTTCATGTGCTTTGAAGTTGAACTTCGCAATACATGTACTGATGCTTGATTAGATTTATGTTCCACATGTTCTATTTATTTTATTTTACTTCAAGCACTTGTACTATTCAAGCACAACCCTACCGATGAAGGGAAGGAAGCAGCAGAGAGACACCTACTGAGTCTAATGACTGCCACTGTCAGTTCTCAAAAAAAAACAATTTTTGTCGAATTGA